GTTGCCACCCCTCTCCCATTAATTAAATAAAAAAATGGCATTATGAAAATCAGTCCAAGCCACATGTAATGTAAAAATATGGCCATATAACTTAAAAAATATATGTTCTCAATTATTCAAATATTTTTTAAGAATAAGTTTATAAAAAATAGAGTTTACATTTAAATCTTGAACTGTTTACATCCAATATCCTTCAGTGTGCTAGTAAATCAACTTAAAATATGACGTTATGGGAGAGTGAAAACAATTTTTACAACCAGATGTCCATTTGGTACTAAACTGTTTTGCAGAGCAGGACTGAGTATTGCGATATTACATCATGCATTAAGCAAAAATATCACCTTATTGCTATTTTACATTTTTTTCAATTTTACATGTAAATTTTCATTATTATGGTTAAATAAATAAGTATATGTATGAATAAGATAATTAAAAAAAAGTGTTATTGTTTTTTGTTTTGTTTATTTGATTAAGTTAAGGCGATTGATTATTTATTAACTGTGTGCAAATGTATTTTGCACAAGTTATTCATGCCTGGAAGTTAGCTGTCTTTAACATTAAAAAATGCTTTAACATTAAAAAAATCCGCCCCTGATGAGTTGCAAAAGCTATTTTAAAAAATGCTCTGATTATGTAAATCACATTATTTGTATATAAAAATAACATTATTTTAGTTCTAACAAAATTATTCAACAATAATGTGTCTGTATCATCTGTATGAGTAAGATCTTTAAAGTATATACATAAAGCATGTTCATGTATGGATCATTCTCTAAAAAAGTAGCAATATATTGTCCCCAATATATACAATATATTTTTTTTTTCAAGTTAATACAATTTTACTTTAAACTTGTGCAAATAACTCGAAATAACTCAACTCGTTTCTTCGCGCAGCGGCCTTGTTCGTCAAGGTTCGTGTTTCAGAGTTATAGAGTTGAGAGAGGGTTATAGCCACAAAATAAGTAGCCTCCTCGTCTGTAGTGGCCTTCTCGGCCTTGAGGAGGTGAAGTAAAATAAAATAAAAAAATAAAAAAAAAATAACAAATTTACAGCTTATACAATGTTAAACTGATGAAAACCAAGCAGCAGAAGTTCTCTATGTTGCTGTCCTAGCTGAACTATCAGACATTTTTATTAATGAGTAATAGTGAGGTAATTTTTGGTGTAGTTGTTTAGTGTTGATAAGTGTTGAAGTTTTAAAGTTGAATTTGTTAGTTTTAGTGTGTCACATCTTTGGCAAACATACTCAGGGTAAATAATTTTACTTTTTTATAAGCAATACTTTTGCTTAATAGCAATTACCAAGGCATATTTACTCCAAGGAGAACAGAGTCCTAACATCAATACAAAACACTTCTTTTAGAGTTTCTTCTTTAATTTGTCACGTCTGTGGATGTCACATCTGTGGAGTACAGAAAACAACAGACGTGACACAGGTGGAACAGACATGACCACAAATGACAATTTTACCTGTACATAAATTTTTTTAATGCCTAATTATAGCATTTTTACTATTTTAAAACTTTGCTCATATAGCCAATTAATTATTTTTGAAAAGATATAATTTTTTATCCAGATAGTTAGATTTTTTTCGTTACTTACAGTTAACGAAAATGGGAAAGAACTAGAGTATTGAAAAAACTAAGTATGAGGAAGGTGAGGGAGAAGATGAAAGCTGAAAACCCAGACAAGTATGAAGAACAAAAACGGAAAGATAAAGAAAGAAAAAAGCAACACGAAAGAAAATTCATGAAATTTCAGAAAAGGATAAAAGACCAGTTAAAAAAGGTTGGAAAGTAAGGACCAAGAGAAGTCGGGAAATGAAAAAGAAGAGACAGCAACTTATTAAAAATTTGTCTACACCACCTAAAAGTCCAACTGTAAATATTCCTATCAACAATGAAACAGGCATTAATGTACTTCCTGGTCCCAGTCAGAAATCTAGTTCCAGAAAAAGAAGCGGGCTAAAAGTTCGTAGAAAATATAAAGATGGGTTAAAAAAAAAAATCCAAAAAATAAAAGAAAAAAACAATTTGTTAAAGCAAAGAGATCAAAAATAAAAACAAAAATTGTACAGACTGCTTATGCAAAAGATAATACTCCTTAAAAGGTGGTTTAAAAAATCTCTAGTGGTTCGAAATGCTTGAAGGAAGTAAAGAAAATCTTGCTTTTAGCGAAGTGTTTAAGACAAAAATACAATCAATTTTTTCTCCTGAGAGTTGTATTGACAAAAAAAGGATTTTGCCAGGGTATTAAGTGGAAAGATAATAAAGAAGTACAGATTTCAAAGAAGCCTTAACAATCTTACTTCTAGATATATCTTACCATACAACTTGAATCAGCCCTCTAATGTACTGAGACAATTTAAAATGGAAGTTGAGAACTTTTTAGAAAAAGATAGTTCTAGTATGCTTACTGCTGGGAAAAAAAAAACAATATCAAGAAACCAAGTGAAAAAACAGAACAGACTATTAAATGATACAATGTTGAATTTGTAGAATAAGTTCAAAAAAACAACTGAGTTCAAGTCAACCTCTTATAGTACATTTTGCAAATTGAGACCCTTTTGGGTTGTTCAACTAGACTTTTGTAAACGAGATACTTGTCTTTGTACTGACCATGAGAATTTTTCTTTGATTCTTGAAAAGTTGTATAGCTTTAAGATGTTGGCATATAAATATCCTACTGACTTGCTAAAAAGTATAATATGTGACAGCGAGCTGAGAGAATCATGCCTGGAAAGGAAATGAGGAGTGTGCCTTTTAAACAAAAAATAGTTTGTAAGAATTTGAGAATGGTATAAATGAAAAAGTAACATTTCCATAATGGTCTAAAAAAAGTGTTAAACTCGCGGTAAAAGATAAAATGAAGACATGTTTTAAATTTATATAAAAAGAATTAACATTACCTAAAAATTTTTTTGCATTTTGATTATGTTAATAAATGTTAATACATGCCTCATAAACTTTTTCAGTAAGTTGTTCAACTTACTGAAAAAGTTTATGAGGCATGTATGCAATATAAAACACCAGTACAAAGCTAGATCAGATATAAAAAATAACTTAAGGGCGTAGGGATATATTCATTCATTGTGATTGCGTAGGCATATATTCATTCATTGTGATTTTTTGGAAAATTACAATTGCAAATACTCAAAAGAAATCCAATCACTCAACTTTGGTGGACCAAGAAACCAAGTATCAATCCATAGAATTGTGGCATACTATTGTAGTATTTCTGGAAAAAAAATAAAGGCAAAATCTTTATCTTAAGACACTTACCATTCTAAAGCATTTGCTAATTTACTTACTAATAATACTTGAAATTTTGTAAAACTTGTACCATGTACTATTTTATGTCAACTATTAAAAACTGTTAATTAAAGATGGTTATATTTTTTGTAAATTACCTGACAGACACTTATATCTATTACAGCATAAAACAATACTATTCATGTCACGTATGTGGTAAATTTGTCACGTATGTGGATTACGCTAAAAGTTTATAATTTTTTTTTTTTGTAAAGTGACTTTTAATGAGTTGTGCAGATACTTACAAATGATTAAGTATATTCAAAGCTATAACAGCAAAAAATTTGGTTTAGAAAATTTAATATTTAGATTTTATAAAAATATTTATTGAAAATGTTACTTTTCAGGAGAATAAACCGTATATGCTTAATAGCATCATTGACTTCATCAACAGCCTAGTAAACTGTATTTTACATATATCAACTTCTTAGTCAACATAGAAATACTCTTTTTACATAACATAGAAAACATAAAAAAACTCTTTTTACATGACCTAAATTATCTGTCTTTTTTGTAGTATTGAGATCAATTCAGTTCACCTCTAGGTTTTTTGAATTGCTAATTGATAGGTAGATAAAAATACTAGATGTAAAGCAAAATAATCTAACACTGTAAAACATAGACACTTTAAGTGTATAAAACATAGACACTTTAAGTGCAAAATAGACACTTTAAGTGTATCAATGAATTTATGACTTGCTTTAACACCAAAACTTGATGTTTTGTATGAAGGGTTAAAATTAGAGTAGAGGTCATAGCCTTTTTCCATTAAAATTGAGATGATTATTTTATTCAAAGCAGTTAGAAACACTGAAGAACAATGATGTCTTTCATAAATAACTACTCTCATATCTTTAGCTTGTATAACTTTTATAAAGCTACATTTCAAAATTTGTAGTGTGATATTTTCATAGCAATATGGTGACATTTTCTGTCTATGAAGTATCTACAAGTTCACTGTAACTATTACCAACAGTACAGTTAATTTAGTATAAATTATAGGCATAATAACCAAGAAATAATACTCCCAGAAAGTGTTCTCTTTCAGTTTAAAAACTTGATGTGTAAAAATTACTAAATCTAGTTAACCCAGCATATTGCAGTTATTCCATGAACATTCATATGTTATAATAATTATACTTTAATGCATTACTGAAGTTAATTTGTTAATTTCTTTGTGAATTAATTAATTATACACAGTATATATTGAATTAACACTCCTAATTTTACCTCTAACTTTACATCTCAAGTAGATTTAAAAAATTTAGATTTAGAAATAAGGCCTGGTGTAGACTTACCAGCCTAATTCTAAAAGCTTATAACTCTTAGAATTAGGCAGGTAAGTTTTAGTTCATAAGTTTGACAACAGCCACATTTATTTTAATTCCAATAACAATAGTTTATATTAAACCAAGACCCTCAAGATTTTTAATAACTCATAATTTATTTGGAAGAATATTGAAAACTGCTTAAGTTGCAGGAGATTTAGAAATGAGGTTAAATTAAGATCTGATGCTCTGCCTCAGGTGGTTGCTCTCTTAATAGTTAGTGGTAATCAACTACTCTTCAAGAGCGGTAAAGAAGCAATTCACAATAACAAGTATTAATATACACTTGCCATTTAAGTTCTTAAACAAATCGAAAATATTCATATAAAATTTCATGGTTTAAAAAATATATATTATTTACCATAGTTATTTTCAAAGAAAAGGCAGGAGAACACAATTCACCAGTTAATCAAATATTATTGATTACACAAACATTAAAAAAACACGAGGGTTTATTAAATTTATTATCCAGCGGATTATTTTATGCAGGGGGTGTCAACTTTTTTTTGATTCGTTATGTTTTAATTGCTTAATTCACTAGGCCTTAGTTGTTAACTAAGTAAACAATTTTTGCGTTTTTGAATCATAAATCTTTTTCGTAAGAATGAAACCTTTTTTAGCAAAATACCATCATTTTCGATTTTTTCTGCAAGTTCTGAGCAATCATATTTTCCGAAATTAAATTTAAAAAGCTGCCAAATTTTTTATTGTAAGTTGGGATTTCCCCTGCGGTCTAGATTGGCAATTTAGGCCGCATCCCAGTGGGCACAGGACATAAAAAAACGTCTTTTGAACGTCTTTTAAACGTATCGATGGTCTTTTGAACATCTTTTGAACGTATTGGATGTCTTTTGAACGTTCAAAAGACGTCTTTATTTATGTCCCGTGCCCACTGGGATGCAGGTCTATCCATTTCTTTCATCCCGTTGCTCAATTTCTATGTTCTATGGATGTAAACTTGCATGTTAACCTTTAGTGAAAGAAACAAATGTTTACACTGCTGTAAAAAAATGAAATATTGCTTGATGTCTTGACCCATAAAAATCTCTTAGGAATATTGATGTACTATCGTGGGTGGTTACTGGGATATAAGTCTCTAAATCTAGTTACACCGTCCGTGGAAGAAAAGCCATTTATAAAATTTTGTATTAAATTGCATTAAAATTTAATGGAATTTAATGCAAAATTGCTGAAAAAAGTGAATAAAATTTTAAAAAGGAAAATGGTATCTATGATAGATTTAAAAATTTAATCCATGTTGGATTTAAAAATGGATTATTTTACACATCTAAAAGATTTTGAAGATATACAATATTGAAGGTATGCAATATAGAAGAGCCATTAAAGGCAAAAGTGCTTTTTTTTCTCAACTAAATTTTTATTGCATAATCTTAGGTGTCGAATGTGACAAAAAACTTTTTTTTTAAGGTAGAAGAAATCAAAATAAAAAAGTTGTCTTCGGAGGAATTATATCAAAATCTTCTTATTGTCATTCAAGCAAACTTAACACCAAACAAACAATCTTTAAGTAATATAAGTAATAATTCAAAGCCTCGTATAATAGATGATGCAGCTGTTGAAAGCAACAAAAAAAAAAGAATTAATGGAAAAAATTCAGGATACAAGACTAATCAAATTAGTGGAGCAACAAAAAAAATATTCCTTATCAAAATTTATTAACAAACCATAATTAACAATCCATTGTTTTTTGTAAGTTTTTCAATACAACATCGTGTTAGAGAAGAAGATTCTCTTGAAGTATCTTGGGAACGTGCACAAGTGGTACAAATTGATCAATTAAATGCTAAACGGACCACATACCTTGTTAAGTATGATAACGAACCTGATGAAGTATGGTTATTTCCTTTAGTAATTAATTTTGAAAAAGGTGATATTATTCTTTTTAGCTAGGATTGTGAGGTAATTTTAATTATTAAAAATTTAGAACTATGTTGTAATATGCATTTATCTTATTTCTTTTATTATTATGTTCCACTTATTTGTTTTAACTGCATTTGAGTACAGTGGTTTTTATCTTTATGAATATATCTGATATGTTTATATGTACCAATTTTGTTTAATTTAAAGATATTTTTGTAATATATATCAATATTTTCATCTCTATGCTTAACTGCACATTATTACAAAATTTAAAGTTAAAATAACAAAAAATAATCTATGTGTGTACTGTTAGTAAAGGGCGGTCAATTTTTTTAAAATTATAATAAAAACTTAAAGAAACATTTAAAACTTTCCGCAATCCTCTAATTTTTTTAACAGTAGGTTACTTTTACTTTAGGGTAGTTTAACCGCTTAGGGTCTAAATAACAGACTCTAAGCTGTTAAATTTCTTTTTGAATCTATGATTACACCGAAATTATTAAAAATTGCTGACTAACATTTTTATTGTTTGTGTAAAGAAAAAGTTTAGATTCATCCTTATTTTGCACGTATTTCGACGTTTTTGGCCTGTGTAGTTTGGGTCTTTTTTCACTTGATATTTTATGATCCAGAATCATGCATTGAATATGCATAAAATATTTTAAAAGTAACTTTTAATAGGTTTTTAAAACCTCTTAACAAAAAAGGCAAGAAAAAAACGTATTAAACATACTTTGACATCATATTAATTTGAAATTCAGGTTCATTACCTAAATCGAACAATAAAAAAAAGCACCCATGAAAATTTCAAGTTTGCATATGGTCCCAATCTAAAAATATTATGTTTTAAAATTTACACATTTACTAAAAACGACGTTTTGAGATAAATACAAAAAACAAAGAAAAGGTTTGCTATATTACAAAAAGAAGCATAACCCAATTAAAAACATCCACTAACTATAAAACACATAATAAATAAGAAGCTGTAGAAATAAGATATTATTGCTTAGAAGTTTGAACGAGTTGAAACTTGCTTGTTAAAAATCGATTGCTATGGCGTTGCTAAGAATCTCAAAAATCTATTATAGCCAAAGTACACACATTTTTACATTTTTACATATTTTTTTATTTGATTAAAAAAATATCGTAAATATGTTATCAAGGGCGGCCCTAGATTTTGCGGGGCCCTTGGCGAAACTTCCGCACAAACTAGGCACAGTGCCGGATAAAGAGGGGGGGGGGAGGGAGGAGAAGGGCTAGGCCCCGCAAATTTAGGGGATCCCTTTTAGAGAACCTTTTTTTTTAACCATTTTTAGGCTCTGGCCCATAAAAAGGCCTCCAAAAACAAAAATAGCCCCGGGCCCTAAGAAGTTTTAACCCGCCACTGCCTAGGCAGCCAGGACGGTGTGTTTCCTGGCTGCTGCGGCCCCGCACGGGGCTCTAACTTCACATTTGCTACTTGGTGTGTGCGGCCAAAGGTGGTAAAGGTGTGGCGTCCCCTAGGGTTGCCTGGGCCGCGGGGCCTTAGGAGGCCGCCGATCCCGCCTATGCCAAGGGCCGCCTCTTTATTTTTTATTTTTTATTTATTTTTTCTTAAAAAGATTTCAAAATTAATGGGGACCTTAAAGAAAGTTAAAATAAAAGTTAATTTAAATTAATATTTCTCTTCTAAGTTTTGTTACGATTAACGTATTATAAATTAAAACATCCTAATAAATTCCCAAAGAGCAATTGTGACGTTGGATGAATTGTGGTTCACAGCATAAACCTTAAAAGTGATGGTGGTATCCTGAAGTTGTAAATATGAGACTTTGAATTGCACAATTTTTTCGGTATGGCTGTCATCAAAGGCATTGCCAAAACAAACATGAATAACATCATTTAATTTTCTTAATATTTCAATAAAAGGAACAGGTGGAATAAAGGAGTGCTCCTGAACTATTATCTTCAAAACGTCCTTATTTTTCAAAAGCTTCCTGCTATTCCTGTTAAATATGAAGCAATAACAGCCATTCAGGAGCATGTGTCCAAATCAACAGATGTGTGGATGTACATCAGGATTCACCTGAGGCATTTATGATGGGTGCATAAACAGAGTTTCTGAATGAACTTGATTTATTGATGTCAGAACAAGCTATATTAAGTGCCTGATAATCTCTTCTGGTTAATCCAAAAGTTCTTAGAGATCCACACTTTGCAAGATCTTTTGATGAAATGTCACACTTAGAGAGTGGGTGTGCACTAGAATGTGCTTGTAAAACACAAATAATATTTGCAAACTACATATCACAGAAAAAAATAAAGCGAGTTCTTCAAGGTTCAGCAGATCAAAAACTTGCTTGGCAAACTATAGTTTTCCTGGAAATCTTTAGAAAAGGCAAAGAATTGGTAAGAAGTTGTTTTAATGGCGGAGATTGTGAAGCAGAATCTTTTTCCAATGATTCCAAAGGTTACTGTTAGAAAACCACCACCGCCATCCACTTGTTAAACTTAAAATCTAATTCAATGTTACCTGGAAAAACTGAAGTAGGGAGGTCTCCTATTATCTCAGGTTTACTAAGATAAACTGTTCCATTGGGTGAATCTTCCTTGATGGCAATGACTGATGCTGCAACATTTTCAGCTTCCACAGAGTCCTTTGACGCAACTTCTGCTAAATACTTTTGCAAGGTAGACTTTTGTGTGGGAGACCATTGCCAACAATTTAAAAGCGTAGAGAACATCTTCTTTTAACTGAGTTCTGAGTTTTAAAGGCTGAATGTGGAAAACTGTGCCTTTCCATCTGAGCAAAATGAACAAACTGAAACTGACTTTGATACTGGAGAAGTCACAGCTGTGGTTGGGTTTAAAGCTTTGCCTCCTCAAGCCTCCTAAGACTCGCTCACTAATGCCAGTTGAGACTTTTGCATCATTAAAGTCAATAGGCTGTTTCAGAATTTGTTTTACTTTTTCCTTCTTACCTTTTCTAGCATTGCCAAGGCACAATAAAGAAACAGTCTTCCTGTTTACTTTGTAGTTTTTTGCTTGATTTGGCATATTTTTTGTTAATTCAAATACAAAATTGACGAAAAAGATGGATTGAACAACTAATGCTCAAGCTTTTCTCCAGAATTTTATCATATTACTTTAAAAAAAATTATTTTTAAATTTTTTTAAATTTTTTTGGTACAGATAACTTGTATACTCTTTTTTAAACTGAAAAAATGCCACTAATTTTTTATCATTATCTTCCTAAGATAACTTATTTAACAGCACCTATCAAAATTTATGAAGTGGATGAAAGTAAAAATTATAAAAAATTAAGCTTATTTCTCTAGAGTTGAATATATTACAGCTTTTTTAATGCAATTTTATGCAAATTTGAAAACGTGTTTCTTCCACAGACAGTGTAACAGATTTAGGGACTTATATCCTAACAACTACCAATAATAGTACAATCATACCCCCAAAGGATTTTTCTGGCTCATGACATCAAAAAATATTTTATTTTTTTACAAGAGTGTAAGCATTTTTCTGCTCCTTCCTTTCATTCACGAGTGTTATATTCAAGATTTATTTATTTTTGACATTGAAAAACGAGTAAATTACGGAACGGATTTCCCCATAGCATTTTTTTATTAAACAAT